TAAACATGATTTAATATGAACATTGTCTTTGCTTGACAATTCATAGAAACTACGATCTTTAAACATTTGATTCCTTTTCCAGAAACAAGCTACTGACAAAATCAAATATGTGAATTTTAAATAAATTTCTTATCTTGTTTCGTTAAATATAACACGTGTGTTTCCTGGTCATTATCCATCAATACTTCACACACACACACACACACACACACACACACACATATATATATATATATATATATATATATATATATATATATTAACAGCATGGCCCAGCGTTGCCCGTGCTTGATTCAAAAATCGTACGACTCATACAGCAATCGCTATCACTTGACTTAAAATATTTTTGCCCTTCCTTGCCTTTAAAGGAGTGCCCTTTGCCGTGCTGATGTTGCAACATGCCTTACTTCTTGCCTGTCTCACACTGTGATTTTTTTTCTAAGCTCTATACTAAACATTAAATCTGTTACGAAAAAAGAACTAAACAAAATGAACACAAAACGATCAGCTTTAAAAAAGGACTCCGTAACTGGAAAAACCGAATGAAAAAAGAATGTTAACAACAAATACTTTTTCACACCCAACCTAGTTCTGCGGAATCAGAATCAACGTTGAGTTTAAGCAAGCGAATGAGCCAGTTGGAGTAAAGTGCCATGCAGATTTAACTTTCTCCCACTTGTGACGAATGCAGTTATCGATTTTTTTTTGCATGCTAGCATGCTAGTTAACATTCGTGTCAGTCAGCTGTTGGCTCTGATGCTGGCTAATAGAATCTTCCTTCCTATTCGTGGGAGCCAGCTATTGGCTCTCGCTCTGGCCAGTAAAAAATGACCGCAAACTACATGAAAACTGCCGTAAAAGAACGAAAAATCGATTATTTCCACTATCGTGTCCGTGCATTCGTTACACACGTGCCTTTATATATATATATATATATATATATATATATATATATATATATATATATATATGATCGGTTTCGGACGACGTATGAGGTTCCGAAAACTTTGTTTATTTAACCTTGTGTGTGAGTCGCATGTGACATTTCAGTCCTGCCAGTGATTTGCAAAGAAGCCCACAGATTGTGCAAGAATGTGGATTCTTGGAGTATATGGCTGGAACAGCAGCAGATATTTTATTTCTTTCATTAGTTTGACGAAGCTTGACAATGTTTGATGCTGCCTTGTTCTTGATGCCATTGTAGCATGTAATCTTCCATTCATTACGATCAATTACGATGTTCTCAAAGGTAGTGTGATTTATATTCGCAGCTAAGAGGTTACTTTTCAGCTTGTTCCTGTACCTAAGCAAAGGCCGACCCACGTTTCGATGACCATTGTCAAGTTGACCATACATGAGCATTTTTGGAAAAATTTATTTACCTTACCATTCATGGTTCCTCTCTACTGTTCCCGCTCTCACCCTTTCACTGTTGAAACTATTAAATGTACCCGGCTCTTCTGCTGCAATAGCTTCATATCTCGCACCTCTCGCCTATGGAACTCCCTTTCCTATTCCTGTTTCCCTATAATCTCCAACTATATATATATATATATATATATATATATATATATATATATATATGTGTGTGTGTGCGTGAGAAGAAAAGTATATACGGAAAAAAACAAACAAAACTCCTTATATACAATTATGCTGTTTTAATGTTAATATGTCAACGTCGGACGTTTCGGTCTAATGTTGTATTGATAATGTTATAATTTATGAATATGTCCTGAAGATGGTTTATTAGACCGAAACGTCAGACGTTGACATATTAACATTAAAACAGCATAATCGTATATAAGGATTTTTGTTTGTTTTTTCCGTATATATTTTTCTTCATACTGTCGGATCTATATCTTTGCTCACACACACACACACACACACACACACACATATACATATATATATATATATATATATGTGTGTGTGTGTGTTATATATATATGTGTGTTACGTCTTATGCGACTTACGACTGTCTGACATTATGAATAGGACCGCGAATTGCTTACCATGAGCCCTGACCCAGTTAATGACATCGTAGATCCACAACCAATCACTAACACATAATAAGATGTTCTGTATTTGTATGTACGTTGGTATGTTATGCAACTATTTTTTGTTGTGTTTTTTGCACCTGTATATTGTATGTTCATCAAATATTAAACCAACTGTATTATAGTATGCAGTGTTTGACTTAAACGTGACGAAAATAAAAATAAGAAACAAAGCAACGCGTAGAGAGAAGATGCAAAATGGCATCAAACTTAAAGAAACCTTAACAAGTAAAAAAGCACAATGATGCCTAAAGAAAATAAGATTGCAAAAGGGCGACATACGATCAGATCGAATTGCGACCGGCCGTGAAAATAATGATCGTAAGTCGACGATATATATATATGCAATATAATTGGCCCTGATCTGGCATCTCGTCTACAGTCGCTTTCTCACAGACGCACCGTCGCCCCTCTCTGTCTTTTTTACAAATACCTTTATGGTAATTTCTCCGAAGGGCTGCATTTGCTGGTTCCCAGACTTTATGAATTCAAGCGTCCTACGAGGCTGGTATCCCGCTCTCACCGTTAAAACTATTAAATGTAGCCGGCTCTTCTGCTCCAATAGCTTCATATCTCGCACCTCTCGCCTGTGGAACTCCCTTCCCTATTCCTGTTTCCCTGAGAGCTATAATCTCCAACTATTCAAATGTAATGTCAATCGACATCTCCAGTTGCCTTGATCTATCCACCATCCTTCTCCTCATCCTTTCCTCTATCACTCCTAACTGATCTTGCTCCAAATCTTCTGTAACCTTGCGTCCTAGTGGTTTCCCGCCTTGCTTGGGATGAAACACTAAAATAATATATATATATATATATATATATATATGTGTGTGTGTGTGTGTGTGTGTGTGTGTGTGTGTGTGTATATATATATATCGAGTGTAACAGCAAAACTGTCCCAATCGTGTAACATCAAAATTATCAGATTGTTAGATTAAGCTATGAACCGTTGTATCTTAGGAATGATTAAATATATCTTACTTGGATTCTCCGAGGTTTTTACAACACTTTTGTTCTGTAAATTACTCTCTAAGCTTAGCAGAAGTATCGTGATGAAATCGATCATAAACGAAAATGACATGTTCATACCTAAGGATCGATTGAAGACTGATATAAAGTTCAAATATATATATATATATTATTCCAGGATGATTTTCCAACTTCTTCAAGATTATTTTCGCCCTTTAACCTTCTATCTTGGAGTAAAATGATGCCTTTCAGGTTTCACGTACGATTTCATTTACAAGGTTTTTTTTCACTGCTCTTTGAACTGTCATAACTGAAACTCCTCTCTTACTTACCAACCGTCTTATAGATTGAGTTGGATCTTTTCTTATTGATCTCTTTAGATATAAGTGTGAAATGCCGACCCTTCTTGCTGTTGTGACCTCCTGATCCAGTTTTCCTCTCTACTGTTCCTTTTTAAAACTTATTCACCTTTCCATTCGTGGTTCTGTAATGAATTTGAAGATGGAAGCAAGTTTATAAATGTTGGTACCATTACTGAACGACTGAACGACTGAATGATCTTTTTCCAGTCACCATTCCTCATTCCAGGCAGTAGGTTTGACACAAAACAATTTTAACCTGTTCTATTTTAAGCTGAATGATCAAAGCATTTTTCAGTGATTCTTACGAAAAATGGAATCAATATGGCTAAAAGTCTTATCTAAAAACCTGGAAAAAATAAACTAAATTAGTTTAGTCTTTTTTAGATGTTAAACATTTTGTGGGATGGGCATATATAATGTGTGTGTGTGTGTGTGTGTGTGTGTGTGGGTGGGTGGATGGGTGGATGGGTGGTTTGTTGTGTGTGTCTGTGTGTGTGTGTATGTCCATCCTACAAAGTGTTTAACATCTAAAAATGACTAAACTGAGTTTATTTTTCCAGGTTTTTGGCGTTTAGCCATATTGATACCATTTATATATATATATATATATATATATATATATATATATATATAGAGAGAGAGAGAGAGAGAGAGAGAAGTGTATAAGAACGAACAGTAAGATCTCAGCGTTTAAAACATTTAATATTAGTGCTCAATAAAAAAAATAATATTTATTTATTTATTATCCAGTGTTACATTACAACATGTACATATCCACTACAAAATTGTACATTTTTGTTTTGTAGTGGATATGTGCATGTTCTAATATAATTCTGCATAAGAAATATATATATATATATATATATATATATATATATATATGAATTAAAAGAAACACAAAGAAAAACTATACTTGATTACTATTGATTACTCACTCACATTCCTTTACACCAAACTTTGAATGATGACACTTTGTGACCTCCACACGCTTTGACTGACTTTTCAGTCACCTGATGAACATTCATGAAGGTTCTCAAATTTACAAGCCTTGATAAACGAATGACATCCTTGCCTCTGTGTATATAAACCGGTGCAGCATAATAAATACTACATTGCCTTGACTCCTTAGTTGACGAATCTTTTGGTAAGGGTGTTGCTAGATAGCTATCAGGATTATAAACATTGGTGGATGAAATTCGTGTAGGGTAAACGGACTTCTAGCACAATGGGCTAGACTGAATTCCATATCTATATCTACAGTCAGTGCGGTGATGGTATGGTTTCTTAGATTCAAGTTAATGGACAGAGCAGGAGTTTCACGTGATTGAGTCAATGGCCCCGTGTCCGTGACCAGGCAAAACATTCAAGTTTTAGGACATTGGCTTTGACTTAAGCTGGAGAGGGGTGGGCTGGACACCGTCAGATTTATTCGCCGTAGAAACGCTAAGCATGAATAAATACCTCTTCGACTTTCAACCGAGATGCGTGAATAGAACTGACCGGGTTTTTAGCTGTGCAACAACGCTACGATATTACCCGGTTATCGGTTTAATAATGATAATGATTGATTGGTATTTTTATTTTTGAATATCATTTGGTGTTTGTTAGTATGCTAGTATATAAAAGCATCTCCTAATAAACGTTTTAATATATTTATTAAAACCATTAGTGAGCCACTAAGTGCGCCGTGCAAAGAGATGAATTAACAGAATAAACTAATTCACTTGAGAATTAATAGATGGAAAATAGTTTGGAATAATTAATCTTTCTCCCTCTCTCTTTCTCTTTCTATAGCTATTTCTTTCTCTCTCTTTCTCACTCTGTCTCTCTCTCTCTCTCTTTCTCTTTCATTCTTACTCTCTCTTTCGCTCTCTTGTCTCGTTCTTTTTTATTTTACACTCTATCTCTGTCTGTCTCTCTCTCCCTTTCTTCCTCTCTCTTTTCTTTATCTCTCCCTTTCACTCTCTCTCTCTCTCTTTCACTTTCTCTCACTTTCACTCTCTCTTTTCATCTCTCTGTCACTCTCTGTCTTTCTTTAAATCTCTCTCTCTTTTCTTTGTCTCTCTTCTCTCTCTTTTTCTCTCTCTTTTTCTCTCTCTTTCTATCTTTCTCTCTCTGTCTCTTTCACTCTCTCTTTCTTTCTCTGTCCCTTTCTCTCTCTCTTTTCTCTCTCACTCCTCTCTCTCTCTCTCTCTCTCTCTCTCAGATGATTCTAGAAACGTGAGGAAAAATGATGATAATCATTTCAAAATCTCCTTATTCTTCAGAATCTTTCTGTCTGCAGAAACCAAAAAATGGTCCAAGAACAAAAGTCCTTGCTTGCCTGTCGCTAGTAGGTAGGCAGATTTAAATTATGGACAAAAGGTGCTTTTCAATATCTCAGATAATCTAAATATAAACGTTTTCAGATGGCAAGAGTTTCACGTCTTAGATTTTGATTTTTTCAGCAAAGGTAAGTTACTTTACCTGTAAATTTGAAAAGTTCTTGACAAAAAGAAATCGTCTCGAAGCTGAATTCGCTTTACAAAAGTTCTTAGAAATTTGCAAAAAATAAAACTTTCTCGGTTCTTTAAGCTTCAAGCGAAGTATTATATTTTTTTAAGATGATTGCAGTTTTGTAGGGGGCGTTAAGGTACTTATAAAATTACTTTTCACTTTCCCAGTTTATTTCGATTTGTAAATGTCTAGTGCCCACCTTTCATAAAAAAAAAACGTGTATGATTTAAATTTTTCCTAACTTAACAGCAGTTCTGAAACTTTCTGAAATTCTAACCTGGCTCCAGCAATATAAGACAAACCGTCTCTTTCTCTCTGTGCTCGACTCGACTGCACAAAACAGCTGCCACTGGCGGAAAGTAACGAGATATTTGATAGGAATTGATATCTGATAGCTGATAGAAATATTGATAATTTATAGAAACCTTTTTGAAGGAGAATTACATGGAAGATTTTTGTCTACGCAAATCTTCAAATATATTAGCTAAAAGTAAATCCAGGCTTTAGGAACTAAACTTTCTTAAAATTAAACTTTAGATAAGCAGGATTTTACAAGAATATTGATATTCATTGATAGTTTCTAACCAAGAAGTTTTACATTAGCGCAGAGATTCTCAGTCACTATGCCGTGGCACATTAATGTGCTGCGCGATCCTCTCAAGTGTGCCGCGAAATACTGGCCGGCATACATATATATGTTTATGGATGAAGTAATGACGAAAACATCGATTATTATTTGCGGTCATTGAGCACAGAAATTATGAGTGGATATGAAATCCCTTCAAAAGTGTTGCTTCTAATATTGGACTTCAGTTATGTGGAGAAGAATTCGCCACCATTTATAGTGATCGAGGGTTCAAAATAAAACATTCGACGCTACCCATTGATATATTTTGGGTTTCAATATTTTGTGATGTCAATGAACACTCGTTGCCACTTTTGTGATGTTAACGAATACTCGTTGTCACTTTTGTAATGCTCGTTGTAGTAGAGACTTTGTAATCGCCGATACAACTATAGTAACGCCGTTCAATAATACTGTTGTCAGATGCCTTCGAATAACACTCGCACTAATAGTACTTGCTCGATAATACTCGCTCGAACAGTAATTCGTATAGCGATCCGAATAGAGAAATATTATATTGAATAAAGTAAAGAATAGCGGTCCGTATAGTATAGAGGATAGACTAGAAATAACGATACCAATGGAAATAGAGGATAGAATAGAAATGCAGATCATTTAGACGTCACGCGACTTCCTACTTGTGCGTATCCTCAGTGGTCACGTGGTCTACTTAATTTAAAAATGGGATCGCCAGTCAAATGTCGGCAACGACACTTTATTCCTATATAATAAAAATATTTTATTAAGATTTCATGAGAAAAAATTAATGGAATGTCAAGATTTTATTATTGGTGGACACAATCAGACAGAGAAAGGAAACTATAAGAACTCATACAGAAGTGAAGGAAAGCTAGAAGAAAAGACTAAACATCAATTGCAAGATAACAGAATGTTTGGTTATTAGCAAAAGGGACAGCCCAACATACAAATTACAAATTGGAATTACCAAAATCAAACAGGTATGAGAAGAAAGGACTAAACATCTGTTGTGGCCTTGTTAGGACCAGAAATAAAGACACAAGAAAGGAACTGAGTTAAACAAATATATTAACAGAAACAGTAATACAAACATATACATGCGGGTTTGTTAGAGCAAGAATGATCGGTCCGACTGTCAGAGCGTCCCTCTCCAAAAGGCAGTACCTGCTCCTATTTATAGCTGATAGAGTCCATGCGTGGGTAAATTACCATAACAACATCAATTGCAAGAAGATTGAATGCATGTTTGCTAGCAAAATGGGCAGCCCACTATGCAAATTACAAATTGGAAATACCATAAACAAACCAGTGCAAAAATCTAGGAAGTGTTTTAACAGAGGACGGAAAGTACAACACTGCAAACCGAAGATACATGATGATAGCCTTCGAAAAGCTAAGCAAAATATTAAATAACAGAAAAATTTCGTTAGAAACAATGAAAAAATACTGAAATATTTCGTAATATCAGTCCTCCTATATGAGAGTGATTACGGGACAATTTCCTCCCACATGAAGAGACTTGATGCAACAGAAATGTGGTTCTACAGAAGGATGTTGAGAATATCATGAACCGAACATGTGAGAAACGCCGAAGCTTTAGAGAAAATGTAAACAAAATGTAACTTATACTTAACATAAGGAAGAGACAGTTGAAATGTCTAGGGAGCACAGTGAGGAAAGTGGGCTGGGAAAATTTGATACTCACAGGACAGATTGAAGGCAAGAGAAAAACAAGGCAAAACCTACCTCGCTAGCTCGAGTAAATAAATGGCAGAACAAGGTTTAGGAGAGATAGCAAAAAGACAAAATTTATTAAGAGCTACAAAAGATAGGAAATTGTATAGAGCCATGATCGCCAAACAAACTGAAGGTACACATCTCATAGAAAAAGAAAAATTAAGAGCCAGAATCTCCAAAGACTAATCCAATAGAAAAACTACGATACTTAAAAGGGATATATAAGGCAGTGGCTAACAATATTCAATTAAATATATTTTGGAATCATGAATAACAATGTTAAAACAGTAGATAATTTAGGAAAAATTAATGAATGAAAGACTGATTAAAGTTCAATAATGTAAAAGAGACGCTCACGTAATAGAACAATTAATTCAGGTAGATATTTAATAGTTGATAAGTTTGCCTATCGTCTGCTTCATACTCCTCTCCAGTCTTTCGAACAGGCGTAGAAGTTTATCTTTGATTCCTGTTTAGGATTAAGTTACCGGTTCCTTTTAACGTCTTCTTATTCCCTTTCACTCCCTGTAGACCCATGAATCTTAATGGCATTATCGCTTTGCTTGGTGTGAACTGATTTTAAATATATAGTATAACGTGTTTCTCTCATTTAATAAGATTAAATTTTTCTATAATAAGTATATGTAGAAGAAAAAGCATGCGAAAGGCGAAGAAAAGAAACAATCTTCAAACACACCTCTACAAATTTAAATTTTTTTTTATAAATGTGTATAAAAGCAATCTTTGTTTTCTTTCAAGTTGAAGGAAACAGGTTATAAATTTCTCGCAACCAAAATTCAACGAAAAATATTTTGTTTTTCTTTTTTATAACAGAAATGAATTGCGTTATTATGAGTGAAAAACTATATGCGAAATAATGTATTTACCTGATGTTGTGTATGCCTCTATATGTGTTGCGTGATCGTAACAAAAGGCAATAGTTATCAGTTGACCTTATTTGTACTACTATTACGATTCGCTTTATTTACATATTTCCGTTCGTATGTTTTTCGTGTTGTATGAAATATTTAAAAAAACGAAATGTTCGTAAGTAGTTACTTAATCTCAATAATTATACGAAAATGTGAGGAATAATTATTGCTTACAAACCCTGGTCAATAGTTTACTGAAAAATTGAAAACTGTTTTTTGTCAAATTACGCGACGGTATTTATAAGAAAAACAATTGATCATGGAAGCTAAAAGGAAAATTTACTAACCTTGGACGTGTATTGGTTAATAAATATATTTCACAATTTTGTAATGTCCATTTTTAGGACATAAAATATTGTTAATCATTTTCTAAAGTGGGCATTCAATTTCGTAGCAAACAATACACATATGGTCGCCTGCATTTTGACATCTTGAATGGAGTTTAAGATAATATCGCTGATTTATTAATAAATGCTAATGTTGAAATTTTAATTTGTAACTCGTGTCTGTTTTTTTACTATTTTTTATATCTCTTAAATCTACTGAATTTTTCTACAATTTTTTAACGGGATTCCATATATGCACGGATGCAAATGACGATTATCTCTTTTTCGTTGAGATGAAGTCATGAGGTTCACATGACGACTGGTGAGTGACATCATTTCATAGAATGACGAAACTCATTTGCTTTTTATCCCGCCTGGAGACATGACGTGTCAGCCGATGAAAAACTGCTATATAGCCCACGGAGAAGACGGACGTTACAAGCCCACGGCGGTAGGATAAACAGAGGAACCATCATAATCTAACAACATAAAAGACACCACCGACCTGTCATTTTCCCGCTGGAAAATATTACAAGGAAAACCTTCTTTCTTTTCATCCCTTTCACACCGCTTGTTGTATGCATGTTATAGTTTCTCTGTGTGACACAAATTAGTGTTAAATATTAAGAAACAGAAAAGTTTAGTTAGAAACAAAGTAAAGGTTAGTGAACTACGACGTAATATCAATGAGGTGGTGATTATTATTATTATTATTATTATTATTATTATTTCTTTTGGTTTCTGTTGCATACACATTTCCTCCCGGTCCTCAACCAGAGACCTAAGGCATAAAATGGCTTCATGACATCTACTGATCATTTTTGTAAAAACTAAATAACCAAAAACCTATGATCACGTACATTTTACATAGTCAACGTTCTTCGTAAGGTGTGCTCTGTACTTGTGAGTACAATTTTTTACTATTATTATTATTATCATATTTCCTTTGATTTCTGGTCTATACTCATTTTTTCCGGGTCCTGAACAAAGACCTAAGGTCAGAAATGGCATTATGACATTTTCCACTGAGAATTTTTTGAGAGAAAAACATCCTTAAGATCACACATATTTTACACCGATAAAGTCCTTCGTAAGATGTGGCCTGTACTTGTGAGCACAATTCTTGGTATTTCTTTAACGGATGGATAACCAGAAATCTCTTCAATAAGTCTATTGTAATCTTTTACAATCAATCCGAGGGATCCAACTACAAATTTGAATTGCTGATGTCCTCATGTACC